AGACCAGAGCCCCAGCCTCTGAGGAACAGGACCCGGCTCAGAGCCCCTGGTATTCTTTGGATGTCACAGACAGCAGGGGCCTTGGCATGGGCAGCAGCAAGCAGGGAGATGCAACTGGTTCCCCCAGCATGTACCGGGTGAGTCCCCATCCTACCCCCAACCCTAGCATGAATGAGCATGAGTCTGCTCCCCGCAAGTCCTGTCCGGCCCTCATCACACTGTTTTATATGATTGTACCACAGACCACAAGCACCCAACGCGTGAATCACTAAGATGAAAGTGAATGTTCTAATTTCCAAGCAGCAAACTGGGTGGGGTCTGGACTCAGTAACAATATTAACATCATTACTGGGTCAACAGAGCCTTCCTGGTTCTCCTACCACAACCTGGAGGCTCCTGAAGACACTCCTCCTGTATACTGAGGACAGTGCCAGTCTATGGTTCTGATTCCATCACAACGGACTCAATTAGCAAAGCACTATGGCTACCAGGATAGTTCATGGTCTAGGGAGAGGTCCACCTGCCTATTGTTGGCTCATCCTGCTCTAAGCTCCTGATGGACTATCTCATTCTCCATTGTTCAGTGTGCAGGGAAGGGCAGCTACAATAAGCCTCCGGTCTGTCCTCGTCGCCTCCAGGTGGCCCTTCTCCAGGGCCAGTCCTCTAAGAGATGGACATGGAGTTCTGCTTCTCAGAGGTCCCCAAAGCCTCCCCTAAGGCCCACCAGGGCCAGCTGCCTGCTGTGTGATTAGGTAGGTCTTCCTGCCTTCCCTGGCCTCAGTTTTCCCAGCTCCTGATCTTGTCCCCGTCTCCTCCATGAGGTACTGCTAATCGTCTGGGATCCCCACTGTCTGCATCTCTGCATTGCTCTAGCTCTCTCTCTCTCTTTCTCTCTCTCTGAGGACCATGGCCCAGGGGAATTGCTGACACCCAGGCTTCTGGAAGGCTCTGTCCAAGTTAGAACTTTGGAGGGGTGCCTTGCAGCCGAGAGTCTTGGGGACTTGTTAGACCAGGGGTGCATGGTAAGGCGACAGGCCTGAGAAACCCCTCTGTGAGAGCCAGTCCCTGGCCTTTAGCAGCTCCTCTGGACAGAGTGGGTGACCAGCATGCGGTGTTGGGCTTTAGTCCTGTCTGGATGAGTGGCCGTGGGTAGATGAATAAGAAATCAGTGTGGAAGGTCACAGGAAACTACAGCTGCTACAGACTTGGGACTGGGGATCACTCATACCCCACTGTGAGTGACTTAAAAGTCTGCCTTTTTTTTTTTTTTTTTTCCTTTTAAATCAGTGTCAAAAAGAAATCAAGAGGCACCGAGCCAATGACAATGGTGTGGTAGGGTGGGGTTGTGACAATGTGCTTGATGCTGAGTGACCTTGAGCAGATGTTTGGAAGTGCCTCCCATGCCTCCAAAGGGCGCTGCTTCATGCACCCTGTCTCCTTCTGCGTGGGAATGTGGGGCGGAGTCGCTACATCTTCCAAAATTTTCAGTAGAAGCCAAAAATACGGATTTTAAAATGTAAACTCATCCAATTTTTACATGTTGGCTCAAACATTGAGAGAGAGAGAGAGAGAGAGAGAGAGAGAGAGAGAGAGAGAGAGAGAGAGAGAGAAACCTCAAACAGGCCAAATACAACATGCTAGCGGGCCAGATTTAGCCTGGGAGGCCAGTTTGCAGGCACAGGCCTGGTTGATGAATGTAACAGGCTTGGAGAGGGATCCCTGCAAGCCCCATAGATCCCAAAAAAGCCTAAGAAGACAGGTTCTACTGTACCCAAGAAGGATGCTTTGCCCCCTCCTTGGGACAGCGCCAAGCCACTAATTTGCCAGGCAGCCTTGGATGGGCATTCTTCTTGCCCCCATCCGCTGAGGTTGCCATGGGGATCCCACAGCACAGACAGAGCCCTGGGGTTGCCTAGGGATGCTAGATCCTGTCCTCAACTCTCCTATGACCCAGCCATGGCACAAAGATGACCTCTCCCTCCTAGAGACCCCATATGGAGCCTGCAGGTACTATCCTGACTCCTGTGACTGTGTTGGCTTCACTGACCAGGGTGGGGGTCTTAAGTGTCACCCCTGGTCTGACCACCGCCAGATCTGCATTTCTTGACCCTGTTCCCCAGCCCCAAGTTCCTGTGTCTCCATCGATGCCTCCATTGACTGTGTAGGCAACTGCAGACCCTCTTGACCAGAGTCCTGCTCTCTCTTCCTCACTCTCCAGCCAGCCTGCATCCAGGAGCCTTCCCACCTCTACCTGGTCCCCACCTGGCCTGATGCAGGAGCTTCTGCTAGACTCCTGGAATACTGAGTGTTCCCAGCTGGAGTACACACTGCCCTTCCCCAACAGCAGGTCTCAGCACCCAACTTGTGTTTGTTGAACAAATGCAGGAATGCCAGGAGCAAGGGAGAAGTCTTCCCAAAATAGCCATATAAAGACTGACTCTCTGGGGCAGGCACCCTCTGCAGCCTGGTCCATAGGACATCCTTCCTTGGGGCCACCTGTCACTCAAAGCATCCCCCCAGAGAATTTTCTATCCTTCCTTCCTAGACAGGAAGAGAGCCTTGTCGAGGTCACACAGTTAATTAGGGGAGTCCCCCTTTACAGTCAGTGAGGAGGGGTAGGCCCTGCCCCTCTCCCATGGTTTAGACTGTTTCCTCGGCTGCTGTTAGGAAGGAAGGGAAAGAGAAATAGCCAAGGAGAGAGAAGTAAGGTAAGGGTAAGTTCAGAGCCCAGGCTTGACCAAGGCCCTCCCTTCAACCTGACTGGCTCCTGTGAAGTGGTTTTAGTATGCACCTCAGATGTGTGTGAAGCAGGTAGTGGAAGACATTCCCATGTCTTCAGTGGACAGAGCTATCCGCTGAGCACCCAGGGACCCAGGCCTCCAGCTGGCAGAGGCAGGCTGCAGGGAGGGCCAGGAATGGCTTGTGGCAGATGAGACTCTGCACTTACATTCACAGATGGCCCCTTACCTGTGTGTTGGAATGCCACCTTGCTGTGGCCACAGTGACATAGTAACCAGCCAGGAGGGCTCTGTGCTGCCTGGGTAGCCAGAGAAGGCGTCAGCTGGACAGAGTTCTGAGCGTGGCATCCCAGAAGAACAAGGATGCTGAGACAGAGACCTGGGCAGCTCAGAGGTGGCCTGGGTAGGGGAGGATAGGGTCTCTGCTAGGCAGGACTGAGTGTCCCAGTCCTCCTCAAGGGACTGTGTGGGTATGCAAGCCCTCGTGCCTCGGTGACACAGGGAGAGTGTCCAGGCAGGGCAAGCCTCTGGGCCTCCGTCATTCCGTACTTGTCTCATGAGGGTTTTGCAGGAAATAAAGACACAGGTGGCAGGAAGAAGATAGCCCACCCCGGTCAGAAGGAGCCCCGTTTGGGACATGTAATAAGGAGGGTGCTCAGGTGAAGGTGCTGGAAAACAAAGGTCCCCTGGACCATGCTTTCCCGGGTCTGAGGTTAGTGAAGTCTTGAACTGCGCAATAGCAAGTCCCAGGAGGGCCAGCCTCAGGTCGGGTCGCTAGTTCCCTGAATCTCCTCATGTCTGGTGGCTCCTCCTCCACCGAATCAGGATGCTCTGGATGGCACTGGCAAAGACACGGCCTTCTATCTGGCTGGAACTAGACGCAGTAGCTACCCTGCATGCAGAGTTGCTTGTGAAGGCGATTGTAAAAGCCAGGGCCCTGCTGACCCACCTGGGTCCAGGGTCAGAGGAGAATCCAAGCCGTGTGCCACAATCAGAAACAGTAAAGGAAAGGGCAGGGGCTGTCTTTCCATTGTCTCCTGCCCCGCCCAGCCCCCACCCTAGCCACAAAGCTACCCATCACCTCCCTTGCTTCTTTCCCAGTCCCCTGGGAGGTGGGGGGTTCCCAGATCAGCCTTCTAGAAGAGCTGAAATAGTCAATGTAAATAATTGATGCTAGCTTTTTAAAATTAAATTTTAATACATTCTTATTAATTCCAGACAAATGCCCCGGCAGGTCATTCACTGTGAGTGATTGAGGAGGCCGAAGACAGATGAGGGATGGCCCCTGCCTTTGGGTAGAAGAGGCCTCTTAAGAATGGCGTCAGACCCAAAACAAGCCCTGTCATGTCAGCTTGAGGGCCCAGCCTTGTAGATCTAGGGCCCTGGTGGCTGGAAGGAGCTATCGCCCTGGGCCAGGGGCAGGTGGCTCTCCTTAAGATGAACCCCAGACTTGGGGTGGAGGTATACCTCCAGATTAGCCTCCAGAGAGCCTGCTGGCCTCCCTTGCCCTCCTCCCCGGCTGCCAGCCACCGAATGAGTGGGGAGCCATTGGTGGATGGATGGGTAGATGAACACTTGGATTGGGGGGGTTGGTTTCATCCTGGCTAGCTCTGACCCTGCCAGTGGACGGCTCCTCCCACCCTGCGCTGGCTCGAGGAGGCCAAGACTGCTGGGTGCTGGGTGTCCTGGGGAGATCCGGGGCTCCTGCGTGGAAACTCACAGACAGCCTGGGGAAGGCTGGAGAAGCCTTACTTCGGTGCCATAGGACCCAGGCATGCACTGTCCGTGTTTATTGAGTGTCTGCTATGTGCTGGAACCCAGTGCGAGAGATGCGTGCTATGATGGGAACTCGAAAAGGTGGGCCTGGGGAAGAGGGGCGCTGGGGGTCGTGCTGGAATGCGTCAAACTCTTAACTAGAGAACTCTGATCCGGAAGGAGGACTCGTAGAAGGGGGTCTGGGCTCGTGCTTTTTTGTAAACTTTTATTAAAGTGTACGGGGAGGGAAGCCCACCGGGCGCCCCAGGGGTCCTTTCCCTAACCCAGCCCCTCTGCAGCGCGCCAGAGCTGGAGGGCAGCAGAGCGCCTGTCCGAGCTCCTCCCGCCCTCCCACCTCCAGGTTTCAGGAGAGGAAACTGAGGCTGGGGGAGCGCAGGGGAGGCCTGCTCGGGCGCCCGGGAAGTTGCTGGCCGAGCCTGGCCGAAGCTCCGAGGCCGGGCTGCGCCCTCGCTCGGCGGGGCGGTGGGGGAGGCGGCGTGGGGCCCGGACTGAGCAGAGCGCGCTCCCGGCGGACGCGGCGGCGGCGCCCGGCGCGAGGGTCCGGGATGGGCAGCCATCAGTCTTCTCAGGTCTGTGGCGTCGTCCCAGAGCTCAGTCTCCAGCACAGCCTTTAGCGGGAGGGCGGGGGCAGCCCCGGGGACGGCCTCGGCCGGGCATAGAAGAGCCCGTTGCACGCAGGAAGTGCGATCCCGCTCGGGCCGCTCGCCGTCCCCGGGGTTCGCCGGAACCCGCAGGGTTAACAGGGGCTGGTGGGTCCCGGACGTAAGGAGGTGCCGTCCGGCACCGAGGGTCTGCACATCGCACGCGGGCGGGTCTGCGCCAGCGGCTCGGAACCCCGCCGGAGAACCGGGCGCGCCGGGGTTAATCCCTCGGGCCCAGAAGGGGGGGCAGACCCCGAACCCCAGGATCAGAGGCAGCAGGGTCCCGGGCCGAGACCAGAGCGCCTGCTTCCGATGCCGTTCCCCTCGGGCTGCGTGAGCGCCGGCCGGGTACGCGGTTCCAACACTCTCTAGCGACTCAGCGCTCTTGCGCTGCCGGGCTCGGGAGGGACGGAGGGAGGGAACGGGGCAGCAGGGGTTAACGGCGGGCCGGGGAGCGGCGGGGGCCGCGGCCGCCCGAGAGTCGACGGGCACGGAGGGGCCCCTGTACCAGCGAGGCCGCCAGCCGCCCGGGCCGCTGCACCCCGCGTCCCCGGCCGGTTCCCGGTTCTGTCCGGGGGGCGTAACTCGGTGGCGGCCCGGGCGGGCTCACCTGTTACACGGCCGAGGCCCGGCGCGCCCACTGAGGCACGGGGGGCACGGGCTGGGGCGCGTGCGGGGCCGCCCACGGAACGGAACGGGCCGGCGGGGCGCCCTGCCGCGCACTGACCCTTTCCTTTGCTCTCCGCAGGCCTCTGCCGCAGACATGGAGAAACTCAGGTGAGTGCTGCGGGCGGGCCGGGGGGAGGGGCGGGCGGGCTGGGGGTGCGGCGGGGTCCGGGGGGCGCGGGGTGGGCGCAGGTGACGGGCCGGGGTGCGCGGATGGGCGCGGGGCAGCGCGCGGGGCTCGGGGCGGCTGCGGCAGGGGCGTCATCCCGGACCGGTCCCCGAGGCCCTCACGCGCTCGCCCCCCCGGGACCCCAGGACCCCCTGCCGCGTCCCCGCCGTTGAGCCGACAGTTGTCGCGGCCGCGGTGGCGAAGTTTTCGCCGATGGCGACGGGCGGGGATGGAGCCCGCGCGGCTGCCCAGGCCCCGCATCTTGGAGCCATTTTGGGGGAACCCCGCGGCCGCGGCCCGGAGAGCCCCCAAGGCCTTCCCTCGCACCCCAACTTAGAGCGGGGGCCCGGGCTCCGAGGGGCCCGGCGCGCGGCAGACCCGGGACCAGCCCATTTGAATATTCGCGGCTTCTGCCTTGTTGCCCTTATCTTCGGACAGCCCCCCTCCCCCCCCACACAGTATTTTCCTCCCGAGCCAGGGCCCAGGCTATGGTCAGCAGGCCCAGCCCTTTGGTGCTGGGTTCGGGGCCCTCGCCCCTAGCCTAAAGGACCTTTTACCCTCCCTTGTCCAAGACCAAAATTGTGAATATGGAAAGAATTGGGTAGGAGGCCCCCAGTCCCTGAAGGGTAGGGCCTGATCAGGCCTGGCCCAAGGTGGGGCCTGGCTCCAGGGGAGGGGCTGGGCCTCACCAGCTGACCTTCAATACTGGTAAGTGGTCTCAGATACCCAGGTATCTGGAGACAAGAACAGAGGATCACAGGACTGGGGTCAGCACATCCTGAGCTGGGAGGGGTCCAGCATCTTGGGACCTCAGAACAAAAGCTGATGTCAGTGGGCCGAGGCCCACCTTGCTTGATCCAGGCCCAAATGGAGGCATCCAGGCCTAGGGAGCCATGTTCTGTTCATGGTCATTGCAATGACCTCAAACCCAAACCCAGGCTTCCTCCCCAGGCCAGGGCCCTCACTGGCCCCCACACTGCCTGCTGTTCATCATCACCCCCACCCTGAGCCCTGGGGGGGGACACTGCTCAACCCAACTGGGACTGGAAAAAAAAAATCAGAGATTTCCAGAAACATGATGGACTGCCTAAGGTTCCTTCCTCTCTTCCTCTCCTTATGCTCAGCCAAGGGTCTTGAGAGTGGTCTGAGTGTCGGGTCTGGGGTCTGATCAACCTGATGTGGGACATAGGTAGGCAGATGTCCTGCCCTGGACTGAAAGGGGGGGCTGGGGGCAGTGGTTAGGAGCTGGGGCCCTGGACTGAATTGGATCACATGACCTTCCAGACTTGGTGGGGTCTTAAGATGGGACTCACTGTGCCTCCTGGAATAAGGGTGGGAAGGGCCCTATCCCCTGGGATTGGGGAGGGACCCACTTGTCAGCTGCTGGCCCTCCTGCACTCTGCTTGCACAGCTTCCTCCAGAACATTCCTCCCCTGAAGGTATGGGTACTGAGAGCCATAATGGGTTTCTGTCTGGAGATTAGGGTTGGGCCTGAGGAGCAAAGGAACCAGAGGCCAAGGAAATCCAGTCACATGATCTCCTTTCGGAGTGGTCACAGGATTTGGGGGCCCACAGATACAGCTTGTAGCAAAACCTTCCCCTTGATCTTGAGTTTCCTCAGCTGCAGAATGAATGTCCCTACCAAAGGATGTTGGGAGGGGGAGAAGGGATCTGGGGCCAGGAGCACGCCAGGGGCCCAGGCAGACTGTCCCCTTTGAGGAGAGGAGGTAACCTGCAGATCCCAGGCAAGAGGAATGGTATTTATGGTTGAGTGAAGGGGTCCTGGTCATCCAGACAAAAGGTGGTAGGTATGAGCTTGGTTCTGCTTCCTGGGGCACAGAATGGGGATCTCTTCCCTGCTGAAGCCTGGGCTTTGGACCTAGGCTCAGTTCTGGGAAGTCTAGCCTTGGCTCCACCCACTCCTCCACCCACCCACTCCAGGCTTGAGCCTGGCTGGCTAACCTGCAAAAAGACTTGGTTGGCAGCTTTTTTGTGAGCAAATAAGCAGCTGGCATCTCACTGTCTTCTCCCCTCTGCTGGACTCTCATCCCACATCATGATCCTGCCATGGAGCTCACAGTCCCATGGCCCTCTCTGCTCAGGAAGCCTTTTTCCCCATTCCATTAGTGCACAGCAAAGTTAGACTCTAATGAGCTGCTTCACTAAGATTCTTACTCCCTCTGAGCACCTGACCATGTACTGGATGCTGAGATCCCACCCGTCTGCCCAAAGCAGGCACACAGGCCAGTGAGGTCTGCCCAGGATGCTCCATGTACCAGGTTAGAGACTTTAGTCTCCTGAGGTATTGAAGGGTAATTCTCAGGATGACAGAACTAGGGCTCAGGATGACAGGTTAGACAACACACCCTCCAGGAGCACAGAGAAACCGAGGGGCTCAGGAAGCAATGCTGGGCAGGGGAGGGATGGGGACCAGAGGTCAGGGGGCTGTCCCAGACACCTGCAATGAAGTCTCCCTCCTCCCTAGTGCCACATGCAAGCATCCTGAGAGCAAGACTTGTCTCTGGCCTCTCTTCTGCTCACCCCAGTGCCTGGCAGGGACTTGCACACAGTAGGTAGGACTCCTTGGGGGCAATGGCACATAGTGGGTGCACAGCCACACCTATTGATGACCTGGCCACCTGGCTGTAGCCCAGCATCTCCCCCCTCCCAGAGGCCTACACATCCCTGCTCAGCTGCTTCATCCCTGCTCAGCCATTCTACCTCCAGCTATTTGTAAAACTTAGTGTGACGCTACAGCATTGGGAAGTCCCTGCATCTCAGCTGCCTGATGTGTGGTCATGGGCCTCTCTCTGCTGCCATCTTAGGCAGCAAACACCCCCACCCCCACCCCCCAGGCTCTGAGCTGCAGTTTCTCCTCTGTCCTGAGGGGAAGTGGGGGGGTACTCAGCAAACCCAGAGATTCCCTCACCGGGGACCACGCCTTCTGCCCAAAGCAAGTCCTTAAAGAGATAGTCCAGAGAAGCAATGCAAAACCAGTGATCAACTGTAGGACTAGCTGTGGTTAGAGCAAGCCAGGGGACCCCAAGCTGCCAGCCACCCCAAATCCCCAAGACCCTTCCCCAAATACAGCCCCCACCTCAAAGTTACCAGGACCCTGGCTTTGTGATACAGGCTCCTGGCTTTTCAATTCATGAGCAGCTCCTACTGTGCCTCACTTGGACCCCCCATCCGTGCCCCTGGGGTTCATCTGTGCCATGGCTGTGGGAGTCGCCCAATGACTGGCAGTCCCCCTGAGCCACAGGCATTCCTTAGTGATTGGATCAAGGTAAGCAGAGCTGCTGTGGACAGCCATGGACAAGTGTCCAGTGTGTGCCAGGGCACGTGTGACCATCTCGAGACAACAGGCCCAGAGGTACCCAGTGCCACTGCCCAAGTCCTCACCAACTTCCCCATCAGATGTGGGCACTGGGGTCTTTCCTAGCTGGATTCCTGTCATTTGATGTCCCTCTTGGGTGCCATCTGCAGGCATTTTCCCCAGGGATCCAGTGTGGTTTTGGATTGTGAGGGATCTTTATACAGCCAATCCCAGCAGGCCAGCACCTCCTGCCACCATATGCTGCTCACCGTGGTCCTGGGGTAGATGGGACTTGGTGGCTTTGGCGCTGTGGCTCAGGCTGGGGTACCGGGATGGCATCGGGGCTTCACGGTGCTATCGGGCACTCCACCACTGAGCAAGCACAGCTTGCTCCTGTTTTCCTGCCGAAGTCTCTTGTGTGCTGCTAATGGATTTCCAGGTGCCCTGCACGGCCTTCCTCTCCTTGAGCTTGGTCCCTGTGTCCCGAGGCTGGTATTATTTTCACATGGCCACCTGCTCTTGCATTTCCCCAGAGTTTGATCTGTTCACCTCGCTGTTTCTCAGCCAGCCTGGCACAAGCCAGGCTGCTGTCACTGCCCGGGCAGTGGAGGGTGGGGGAGCACCGTACTGGCTCCAGATAAACAAGTGGCTGTCAGGCAGTCTTATACCTGTCTCAGCGCCCCCTTCAGGGCTTCAAGGGTATTTTTCCTGAAGCCAGAGCTGAGGATGCATAAGGCAAGCCTCCAGATCTCTGCTCCTCAGGCCCCCTATGCAGCCCCCAATACCGCTCCCACCCCACCCCTGGCTTGGCACATCTGCCCTCATGCACTGGATCTGCCCCGCCCTGAAAGTCTAGCCTTAGCCCTCTGGCTTGTCACTTAGACTTTAGTTTGCTCATTGACCACAGGCTCAACTCACCTATTAAGCACCACTGTTTACCAAGGGTAGTTTAGTCAAAGGAGGATATAGAGAAAACACTGCAGTTGATGGAAACAGAGACCTTTTCTAAGCAGGTAGAATTTGCCAGAGCTTTAGAGACAGACACAGGGAGGGTGGCCAGCATCCTGTGGGGTGGGCGGGGCAGTTCTGCAAGCCTGAGAACAAATAGAGACCTGAGCTCCAGGCAGGTGATGGGGGTTAACCAGTGCAAGGGCCTGGTAGGAATGATGGGATGGGAGGGGCAGGTCTGGGGACGGACGGACGGACCCAGAGGTGGGATCTGGGAGCAGAGAGGGTCCATGAAGCCACGCCTGCTGATGAGAGAGCTGGAGTGCTGGGCCTGAGCCCCTGGCAGACGTGGAGACAGCTGTGAGGAAGCCTTGCTTTTGAGGTATGTAGGCTTGGGTCTCCTTGCTTGTGGGGGTGTCTCCCCACATCAGATCCCCTACTCTCCTTTTTCCCCTCGAGCCCATGCACCCACTATGCCAGCTGGCCAAGTCATTCAATAAATGACGTCCCTCAGGGCTCCCGGCTCTACTTGTAACTCTGATGCTACCGGAGGAAGCCTAATTTTCACTAAGGTGAGAGTGACTACCTCCTAAATTCTTCCTTCAGGGGCCGGACCGGCACATGTATTTCCCACTCTGTTTCCCTTCAAAATCTCCTGTCCCACAGCCCATCTGGGAC